ACAAAGCCCCCTTCAGAAAGTGACTTGAATATCCGCAATTTATTTATTAACACTGTTCTTGCAATGAAATTTAGCACAGACAAATATTATATACAGTTAATCACAAAAATAAGTATACAGAAATACTGACGATTGGTTTTATTTAAAAAAACATATTATTTTTTCAAAAAACATGAAAGTAACACATTTATTTATTAAAAACAATTATGATAATTATTATTCACTACTTTTTTTCTTCATATTTTGGTTCTTTGAGTTCTCATTTAAGCTAAAGTTAAAAAGGTGCAAAATTTACGTCACAAAAGTAAGTATACAGATCATTTCAGTATATATTTGGTTTAATGATATTAACAAAATTTATGAAAATTTTACTTGTATTAATATAATTACTTTTTAATAAAATATTTTTTACACAATAACTTGGAAAAATCTACTTTTAGTTCCGAAATCTTGAAATTTGGGCCGATTGGCTCCGGAATTAATTAGTAGAACAGTTTTTTCTCATTTCTACAATTTTTTTTCCACTTTAGACCCCGGATTGTGGATCTGGTGGTCATTGAACCCTCCAAATGATGCATTGGAAATAGAATTTTTAACTTTTGAAAAGAGTTGTTATTTCGAAATTAATGTTATATGCATGGATTTGGCCATTTTGAACACAGTACGTTCTTAAAAACCCGAAATTTAACTCCGATTTCTTAAGACTTACAACATAAACTTTAAAATTTGGATAATTCTATACATTTTCTTTAATTTAAACAGGTTTTCCAAATACTCCGATTTCCAAAGCATACAATAATGCTACCAATCATATCTTGATATACTCGATACAATAACCATGTTTTATGGATCGGACATTTTATTTGTTCTAGCAACAAATTAAGATGTATCCGTGTTCAAAATTGTTCAATTCGTATTCATACCACCAATTGAGCCTGATTTAATATAAAAATCTTACTATTTTGGACAATAATCAATTTCAGAACCGATATGTAGTGTAAGTTATTGACATGGTCACCATTTGACGATTATTGGTAGTATTTAGGAGTGTGTAATAGATGATTGGAACCAAAAAACTTGTTTCAATTAATGGATACTAGTGCAAATATTATTAATATCGCATTTTAAGACATAAATTTTAGGAAATCGCCGTTAAATATCGAATATGTACGCTATACTATGTTAAAAACGGCAATGTTCCGCAATGGATTGTAATTATTGTAAAGAAACAATTAATTTAAAAGTTAAAATATCGTCTTCCAATGCATCATAATGAACAAACGAGGGATATTATTGAATACCCGATCCAAAACTCCGGGGGTTTAATGTTCTTAAATAGGAAAAAATGCTCCTATAAATAATATTCAGATCAATTACCAAAAATTTCAATTTTTCGGAACAAAAAGTGAATTTTTTTCCATGTTATAGTGTACAGAATATTTTATTATAAAATAATTACATTCAAACAGGTAAAATTTTCATGAATTTTGTTAATATCATTAAGCCAAATACATATTGAAATTATCTGTATACTTACTTTTGTGACGTAAATTTTGTACCTATTTAACTACACCTTAAATGAGAACTCAAGTAACCAAAATAACCCGGAAAAAAGTAGTGAATAATAATTATCATAATTGTTTTTAATAAATAAATATGTTACTTTTTTGATTTTTGAAAAAATAAAATCCTTTTTTAAATAAAACCAATTTTGAGATTAACTGTAAATACAAATCTATCTGGATCGGTACACATTCGCTCCTAACCCCTATATAAAGCCTCTTTTAAAAAATTAGTTTTTCGTCAATAAATTGCTTTAATAGATCGGAATCAAGGTAATATTCAAGATAAATGCTTTACTATGGAAAATAAATCAAATCAAATGGTCGGCCACGCCCGACTATACTTTCTTACTTGTTAAATTTTCAAAAGAGTAAACACATTATGGTATACATGGTTTAAAATTGAAAACAAAATAAGCCGGTTGCCTATATTAGCGCTGTAGAAGACATAGTCTGATTCCAATGAAATTTTGTATAAATAGTTCCCTGACTTTATAGGTTATATCCACAATATTTTTTTTTCAGATTATATTCATAATTATGACGAAATTTTTGATAGACTGATATTGCACTATGGGCCAGAGTGTTGCCTCGTCCCAAGTAATGAATTTCGAGTTTTTAATCAGATTTGCATCAATTGAATTTGCCCGCATAATCAAGTTAGCAAAATTGGTTAAAGGCACCGAATGTTTAAACAGAGAGTAATAAGTACATAAAGCCTCCATTCACTTACCAGGTCCTTTTTTTCCTCTCCGCCCTAACAGAGGATATCAAAAATCCAGTTCAGTGTTCATCTTCTCCTTGATCCGTACAACATGAATGTCAATTTTCATATTTCTAGGTCATTGTGGGCCTTCTAAATTAGTTAAAATGTAAAAAAATTTCCACGCTTATTTTTCCTGTTAATTCTCCGTCCATAGTGCAAAAATTGTAATTCTAAATGTTTTAAGGTAAGCTCTAACGTAGGTATAATATGCTTGGCAATTATTACCTTCATTGGTTTTTAGAGGACATCAAAATAAGCTGATATTTAAATAAACACAATTTCGCCACGCCATTTTTCCTCTCAATTCTACTCCCGTAGTCCATAAATCTTAGATCCGTCTACTTTGCTCCATTGGTAGAACTGTATGCAAGACAATTTTCAGCTTCCTATGTCTTTCCGCTTCCTATGTCTTTGATATAAACTAAAATGTTAAAAAGTTGAAGTTTGCCAAACCCCTTTTTCCCTACTTCTCCGCACACAGGCCAAAAATCCGGCTACGTTTGGATTTGACATAGGTATTTTACTATATCTATACCAAATTTCAGCTTTCTAGCCCATCTGTGGGCTTCAAAAAGCTCTGGATAGACAAAAAAGAGGAAAAAAACTATGAATTTTGACACGCCCTTTTTTCTTCTAATTATCCGCCCACAGACTAAAAATCAAAAATCCGGCTAGATTATAACATTAATTTCATGTTAAAATGGATATATATATAAATCTTAACGTATCACTGGACTAACACCGGATTTTAAAAATCTAGTTCAGTGTTCATCTTCTCCTTGGTCCGTATAACATGCATAACAATTTTCATCTTCCTATGTCATTAAGTGTCTTCCAAATTAGTTAATATGTATAACAAACATTTTACCACGCCTCTTTTTCTTCTTAATACTCAGTCCATAGTCCAAATATTTTTATTCTAACAACATTAAGGTAAACCCAACGTCCGTATCATATGCTTGGCAATTGGTCTTTAAAGTCTAAGATCTAATCTAAGATCCGACTACTAAAGTCTATGCTCCATTTTTTGGACTATATGTTAGTCATTTTTCAGCTTCCTATGTCATTAGGGGCTTTAATATAAGCTAAAATGTTAAAAAATATAAATTTGAAACGACCATTTTCCTTCTAATTCTCTACCCACAGTCCAAAAATCCGATTACTCTAGGATTTGACATCTGGCTTCAAAAATCTCTGGATAGACAAAGGGGGAACAAACATTAACTATTTATACCATACTCCACGTTAGTGGGCAGGGTATATTGGGTTTATGCTGATGTTTGTAACATACAAAAATATTCGTCCTATACCCACCTTAAAGTATACCAATCGGCTTAGAATCGTTTTCTGAGTCAATTAAGCTATGTCCGTCCGTCCGTCTGGCTGGCTGTCCATGTAAACCTTGTGCGCAAGGTACAGGTCGCAATTTTCAAGATAATTGGATGAAATTTGTCCCAAGGACGAAGCCTATTGAAAATGGTTAAAATCGGTCCATTATTTCACCTAGCCCCCACACAACAGAACCCTCCGAAAAGGGCTTCTGAGCTCATAATTATGTTAAATATACGTGTATATTGATAAAATGCGGCACAACTAAGTTTTATACAATTCTTGATGACCTCGCCAAATTTCGTAAAGATCCGTCCTCATTTGACCCTAGCTCCCATACAAGTTCCCCTTCAGAAAATTACTTCAATGCCCAAAATTTCAGAAAATTAGTTTTTCATCCATAAATTACTTAAATGTATCGGAACAAGGTAATATTGAATATAAATGCTTTATTATGAAAAATAAATCACAATCAATATTCATAACTGGTGTAGGGTATCATATGGTCGATCACGCCCGACTATACTTTCTTACTTGTTTTTATTTATTTTAATTATTTTCTAACGGGTACAATTTTGTTATGTTCAATATAAATCTTCAATTAGCTTATTATTAAAAAAAAAAATAATATTTTTTATTTACTTCGAAAAAAATAATAAATTCTCTCAAAAATACAGAAGAGAGCAGGATGCTGTGCACAGAAATTTCGAAAAGCTGTGCACAACAATATCATTTTTTTTATATGTGCTGCGCCAAATTAAAGACGCCCTAGGAATACGCAGCAGCACCGGTCCCATAAGAAATACACGTGTTTGTGTGAGATACACAGCCAAATCTGCTTATTCGCAGTAACTCTCATAGCAACTTCAATGATGAGGTGACAGCGAGTGACAATTTGTAAAGATATTTCTATGTGGTTTCAATAAATGTCAAATTTTTTACATATGTGATTTGACATTCTGGAAACTCAAAGACATATGTATGTTATACTCTACTTATAATTTCTCTCACCTCTGGATAATTTTATTTTTATATATAAATATAATAGCAGCATACTTTTAGGATTTAAAAATTTCAGATTGAAATTAACTATTTTTTTTTCACCACAACATTTATTTTCACTTTTGCATGCTGCCAAGTTTATCATGTGTTTTAACCGCATTACCGTTGTACACTGCACTGCCATAAACAGTGTTACCCGCAACAACGCATTTCTTAACGACATTTTGAGTGCTGCCAAGTTTGAATATATTTTTAAAATATTGTGTTGTCAAATTGTAGTACTTTCTAATGCAACTCTATAAATGTCAAACAAAATGAAATAATATTTAAAAAATTAATGTCAGTTGATACTTGTCACTTGTCGCGTTTGGTTTAGTAATTTAAAAGTAATCGGAGAAAGATAGCGCGTATTATTTTATTGCAAAATTATTTTATAAAACTTATATAAATTTTGGCTCTCTACAGATTGAATCCATCATTTATAATACAAACTCAATGCAATCAATTACAAGTGGCAAAAACTAAAAAACATTTTTTTTATTAAAATTTGTTAGCACATTTACTACAAAAAGACAAATTCTAATTGGAAATCTTTCCAAGTGTTAAAAGAAAGCGGCAAAAAAGTTTTTTTTTTTTTTGAAAAATTGCCAACACACAAATTTTAAGTTATGCGAAATTCTATAGAAATTGATGAATAGGAAGAGCAATAAAGCAAAAGAAGAAATAGTTTTAATAAATTGAGTGTTAAACAAGAGAAAACTAAAAAATAAGTTAATAGAAAAAGGCAGCTAAAAAGCAAACAATACAAAAAGGAATTTATGCTTCTCTATAAACGTCACTAGTTGCTGTTTCTGTTTTGTGATGCAAATTCTTGTGCATAAATTTCTAAATAGTTGTTGAAAGTGGAATAATAAGAAAAATTAACTAAAACGAATTGAAGATAAACAATTTCGTTTGCAAAGTCGATAGATAAATAAATAACGGATTTTTGCAAAATTTGGTGTTGCTTTAAAGATTTGTTATTGTGCAAAGAAAACAAAAAGTTGCAACGTGAATGTCTTCCACAAATAATCAAAGACAAAAAGCTTCCTCACAGTATCCCACGTATCAGCCGATACCACAAACTGTTGGCAGTAGCATGGATAATCCAGCCATGACTCGCAGCACCAGTAGTGCGGACGATTCTTTGGATCGTACTGGTGCCGGCACTCTACCCTCCACATATTCATCACAACAACTTATGCCGCCTTCGGATAGTGACAGTGTTGAAGAAGGTGACAGATTGGGTGGTGGGACAACACCAACAACGAATTGTGCTCCAGGAACTGTGCGCTGTATTACACGCAGTCAATGGTTCACAGTCGGCGTTTTATGTTTTGTTAATCTAATTAACTACATGGATCGCTTTACAATAGCTGGTGAGTGTATTTTTTAATGTTTTCCTGTCTGTTTTTGATTGAAAATGATGATTTAATCATGCAAATAAAAATAAATTATTAATTAGTACTATAGACTTGTTTATTGGACATTGCCTTATAAAAGCGATAGCGGAAAAAAAAACTAAATTATAATTGACCATAACTATAGATGGAGATAGACAAACTTAGATTAAAACTAGTAACAAAGTTAAGTCAATCAAGCCCGACTTTATTATAACCTACATTCAATTATGGTGTGATGGTAATAAATTTAAATATTTATACCTATGTAGCAGAATAGTTCATGTATAATTGATTCTCGAAAGGGAAACTTTGAACTATTATGGAATGACAATCACAAATTCCGTAACATGATTTCTACAATTCAAAAAGTTATTTCTATAGAATTTCAAAGTGATGATGGCTAAAGAGATTTCCTTGTATATACAGGCCTATCACAGATTTCTATGCCGATCAAAAGTATTTTGCTTTTTTATAATGAAACTGCTTTACTCATTTTATATTTAAAATGGGGTTTATTAACTTTTTGGTGATAATTAAAAATAATTGTAAAGGTAAAACAAAATCGATCAGAATAATATTTCGAATGTGTGTTTATTTCATGTTTTTATGTTTCATTTTCGGTTACATAAAACTTAATTTTGAAAAATTTTATGTGAATTTTTCAAATATTTTTTGAGGTTTTCTTCTCCCGAATTGATTATATTATTGTTTTTGTTTATTTTGCTTTCTCAATAATAACTTGGGTTTAATTGGCCAATAACTAAGATAATAACTAACGTAACTGATTACTGAAAAACTAAATATAGATTAAACTAGGTTTAAACAACGAATATAGATTATCTTTATCAGAAAAACCCGCAATAAGTAATTTGGCTATTGGCCAATAATAATTTTAACTAACATAAAAGAGTATAAAAACAAACTTGCTATTAACGTGACATTGATAACTGAAACATTCAAAACGCCTCCTTTATTTATTTGCTATTTTGACTTTATTTTGATCATTTTCATTTTAAGAGAAACATAGCAAAAACTTATGTTTTTAATATTTATATACATAAAAAAATATTAAAAAAATTTTCATTCATAAGTACAAAGTTATGTTATATTAAAAATATATTTTTGTTGTTCACAAACTGTTGGGTTTTTCTTCATTCATAGTTTTAATACTGTTCATTTATTTGCAGTGTTTGTTTTCTAAAAGAAAGAAAAAATAAACGAAAAAATGGGTCAATGTTGGCAAATAATACAAAATCAGCAAAAATTGGTAAAATATGAATGTTTCTTTTAAAATAAATAATATTCATAGTCAAGGTTAAACATTTGTATAACATCAATTTAGTTGTTATAAAAATTGAACATAGAACATACATTTAAAAATAAATGTTAATAGAAACTGTTTCTGGAAATACTCTTTTTGTTCAGCAGTTGGTTTTTAACTTTTCCAAATATTGTGTGCCAAAAGATGGAAGATTGTATTTTAGCGTTATCATTACAATTACATTGTAATCTTATTGCAATTTTGTTGAACAATATACATATTGTGATAATGTTAGTAACACTCATTTTAATATAGAAACAACCTTGTTTTGTCAAGGTAGTAACAAATCGTTTTACACCTTTGACCAATCTTAAAGATAATTTTAATTTTTTTAAAAAAAGGTCTTTAATAAAGAATTAAAATTGGAAACAACTTTATTAACATTATAAAATTAGTGCATTCATGTATAAAATTGTAGACAATGATAAAAAGATTGTATTTTCCTTTAAAAGTAATTCGCGATTATTATTAAATTAATAAATAATTACATATTTCATTTCCTCGCATAAATATATCAAGTATTCACAATTAAAATCGTATGATGTTTGTTTATTTGTTGATTTTATTCATACACAATTACAAGTAAAAGAAAAACACATTGAAAAAACATGTTTATCACTTTGATTTTATACAATTTTGCTAAACAATTAAAGCTGTATTATTTTGCCATTTTTTTTTATAGAAATATTAAAAGAAAAATGTTCAGACAAAAGTAGTATGGATTCATAAAATTTGGACAACAATTATATTGTTTTTTAACAATAAATGTAAACTATATATTCAATATATTCTTTCAACTATTTACTTATGGTAAATATTTACAATAGCTGTGATTGTAAACAATAATATTGTGAAAATGTATTTATTTATATAAATACAAAACAGTATTTTGCTATAATAGGGTTTGATGTATTAGCAATCTCTAATGTTTTCTATTAAATAAGACGAATATTACCAACTGAACTTTGAGCTAAATGTTGACAATAAAATATAAAACAATTTAAAAAATAAAATGTTTTTATAAGTAATTTTTTTGGCAAAAAATCAAAACAAATTAATTCTATATACAACAACATTTGCTTACGCATTTATACATACATATACAGTTAAAAAGCATACCAAACAAAACAGCTGATTAATAGAAAAATTTATTTAAAAAAATATGTAAATGAAACTCATACGATGTTTTTGTTACGAATAGAATTTAAATATCTAATGACTCAGTTTTAAAATATCTTAACAAAGTTACAAACTATTAAAGAGATAATACAGAAGTCTTTTTAAAATTTGTTAACACAATCACGATTAACTTTTATTTTTTTATATAAAATTACTAACATTTCAAGATAAACATTGAGTGTTAATTTCTTATAAAAATATGCATTTATCTTCATTCATAAAATGAATAAGCAGACGTTGAAATTATATTTATACTTAATTATCTACAAACAAAAATACATGTATATAACTTGTTGAGAATCTTTTCATAAAAACGGAAGTTATAAAACTACGGAAATAATTTTAAAATCGAGCACAGAAAATATGCATATAAAAAGACAAAATATATAGAAATTATTAAAACTAAAAGTACTTGACACAGTCAGCAAATCATGTTAATTTGTCTAAACAATTTTTAATTAGAAAACTTATACAGGGTGTTTTTTTTTTATTTTTTTTTTTGTTTATTGAATATTCCAAAAATGCGGGTTATGACCTATTAATAATTTAATTTATTTAAATAGTGACACGCGTTAAATCATTAGTACTTATTTAATAAATTTAAGGTCTTATTATCATTTAGTTTCAATTAAACATTTATGATGGGAAAAATTAATTGTAATGTTAATTAATACACCGCATGAGTTATAATAGTTATTAGTTCTTTTCAAAATCCCCCATATTATAAATTAGTAGACTTATCTCATAATTTATCATTTGGGAAATTTCTTTTTGTTAATTTTTATAATTATTACAAAAGACTTTTTTATGGCACTTGTAAATAAAAAAGGCTGTATGGGGATTATTAGGGAATATTTAAAAAATAATTTTATTAGTACAGTTGTTAATACTTTTTCTATAATCTATTTTAATACTTTAGCCATAGAACTGAAATAAATATTAAATTGGAAATTTTGATTTTTAATACAGAGGCTTTTCCCCGGAAAAGTCTACTTTTGTCTGATCACGTAACTGCCAATTTCAAATACAGACGTATTATATACTTGATAGTGTATTCTGCTGGACGAGCCCCTATATGTTCTATCTAAAGTCAAAATAATTTTATTTTAAATCTTATGGGATAACAAATATATTTTTTAAAATAATAGCAAACAAATAAAATCATATTTGTGTTTCAAGAAAATGTATAACCAAAACTAAATTTTCAAATTTCGGTACACTTGCACTTCTACACATTCTTCTTGTGTACTGAAGAAAAACAAAATTTCCTCTATTATTAAAAAGATAAACAGAAATTTATTGCAAAATGTTTCTTGCAAATATTTAAGGCCAAAATTGTTCAGTTGAAATTCACGAGATTTATTTTTAGTTTAAATGATACGTATATTGCAAACGTACATGTACAATAAGAGTCATAATATAAACAAAAACATCACGCCATTTTTATCAATATGTGTTTTATATATTTATAACAAATAAGTATAAAAAGTGAAATATAAGATTTTACTACACACAAAATAAACTGAATGTTTTTTTACTACATCATATCACATCATTTGTTTTACAATATTATATGACTCATAATCTAAACACAATATTTTTTTATAAATTTTCCCAAAATAAAAAACAAATTAATTAATATTTTTTTTAAATTATTAAAAACAACCCAAATTATAATTAACATTTAATAATTGTAAGAAAGAAATTTAAATTAATTGACAATTAAAAAAAAAAATATATATATACATATATATAATGTAATCAAATTTCTACAACTTTAAGATTAAATTATCTAATTCTTTAAAATATTTATCTCTAGCAAAAAACCCGCATGCTTGCGTAGATATTGAGCTGTGTATAATCACATGTGACGTAGTTATTTGTTTGACTACGTAAATATGTATATGATGTATTAAGAAATTAGTTAATTTAACAACAAAAAATTAGTATATGAGTGATAAGAAAACATAATTTAAATCATAAAATCCAAACTAGACAGATACAAACTTATTCAGTCAGTTTTAAACCTAATATAGTTTGTTTATAAACAACAAATTAATAAATAAACATAAAAATGTGTGAATAATAAGAGTTTTTTGTCACGAGATTTAGCAAGATTGTTGTTGTTTTTAGGCCCACTAAAATAAAAACAAATCTTATATTTACAAATTTGCTGATGATTCGACATAATGGTGTGATTTCTTTTTCTATGGTTAACTTGAGTCATTATTTTTCAATTTAAATAGATAACATTCTGATAGAATTCCATATTACAAATTCCTATCATATGATTATTTTGATGAATTACCGTTAATTAGTTTTGAATTGAATATTAAGTTCACAACACAAAAATATGCATTTTTTTTCTATTAAACCAAACAAATTTATCTCAAAGATTAAAATATTATTCAAAAATGAAATTTTTGCATTTGTTTTGAAATTGATAAAAGTTTATTTTGCAAAAACTACACCCATTTAAAGAAAACAGAAAAAGTTAAACATTTTTGCGATAAGCACAATGAACTGATGAAATTTCAAGGTCTGATTTGTGGGGTTTTTAAAAGGCACATTAACATGTGATTATTAATATACAATGGTAAATGTATTATACATATTTATACATTCATATCTATGTTTGGGATGCAAAACAAAAAAAAAGAAATAAAATTGTTAAATAATCTTTAAAAATTATAAAATTTGGCAAAGAAAAGATTTTTAAAACAATTAAACGTTTGTTAATGTGTTAAGCAGAATTATTTGCTGATATAATATAAACTGTTCAGCAAAATAAAACTAAAATTTTGCAAAAAAGAAAAGTTAATTGAAAATAAATTAAATTCCCTTCTTCAACATTTTTATTTGTAATATAATGTTAAATTCACTTGTTTTATGACTATCTCTGCTTTTTTTTTAAATTTTTCCAATTTAAGGTATAATAAACATCAACAATATAAGTCTCCATGCAACTGTTTATTTTGAGTTTTGCAATCTCTTTTTTTTTTTAAACAAAGAAAATAAAAAAAAATTCCAGTTGTCCATTCACCAGTTCCAAATTGTCTGCAGTTTGCTTTTTAAACATTTTAATGCAATAAACATATTTTGTAATTTCCATAGACCATCTGTGTTTAGGAAATACGTTTTTTTTATTAAATTATTTTGTTGTAGTATAATGTTGTTTAGAGTGTAAAAGACGACCCACCAACAAAACAAATAAAAACTTATACTTTCTCTTTAATAGAAAAATATACTTGTATATTCATTGGAAGTACACAATAGTAAATGGCGTGTCGCTATACACCATTTACTCTCGTCTAGAGTCAAATATTTAATAAAAAAAGTGCATATTTGTTTATTACTGCTTAAAACTAACATTGTTTACTTCTTTACAGTTTGTTTTTTTTTTTTAATAAAAAGTAGAGAATTTAACTTATGTGTGTCAGTCAATATTTGAAATGTTTTTGCTGCTTCCTCTTAATTGAAAATATTGTTTGGTCATTGCTTAACTGTTAGAAATATAAAAATTTTATTGAATTCTTGAAATGTTTAATTGATAAACAAAATCAATTCGTTTGAATCACTTCACATTTTTATTTTTTATGATTTGTATATGGACATTTATTTAGTCTAATGGTTCATTTCTATTTTTAAATCGTATGATACTTGTTTATTTAATTAAAATTTGAATATATTCAATTTAATTTGTACGATTCATTTTACTTCCTTAAAAACAAGCTATTTGTTTTTGTTTTATTTTTTTACTTTTTCTTTCTATGCCAATGACCGCATTTATATTGATTTTAAAACTTTGCCACATAAGATTGCAACACTAAGTTATTTCAAACATTCATTATGTTACAGATTTTTTACATTAAAATGAGATTTGTTCGTAATGAGAGAATGGCAATTTTATAGTTGACATTTTTCCCACATCTATTTAATTCAGACAATTTGTTTGTATAATCTTATTCGGCCGATTTGACCAAGACAATTATAAAAAACTGCATTTAAATGTAATCGTATGTGTGCATTGAACTAATTTATACAAAATAAAAAATGTATTTAAATTTGCTTAAGTTCAAGAGAAAAACTAAAATGTTGTTTGCTACGGCAATAGTTACTTAGGCAGAACTTTGTATTTGTTACAAAATTTAGCACAATTTATTTTATGTACTTTGTAGCTGTTATGAAACGAACGGATAATAACAGATAATGAAATCCATATTCATTAAGTTACAAATATTGATCATATTGAGAATTTACATAGATGGTAATTTACAGATTATAGTAAAGATCTAGATCAGAATATCTATCTATCTATTATCTATCTATCTATCTATCTATCTATCTATCTATCTATCTATCTATCTATCTATCTATCTATCTATCTATCTATCTATCTATCTATCTATCTATCTATCTATCTATCTATCTATCTATCTATCTATCTATCTATCTATCTTTCTATCTATCTATTTATCTATTTATCTATCTATCTATCTATCTATCTATCTATCTATCTATCTAAATTAAATAATCTTTAATCGGTAATAACTATTCTCTACTGCTTAAATGTTCCTTAGAATTACTATAAATTTATATTATTTTTTTTTACTATTGGCAAATATCATTTTACACACTTTTCATGATTTGCAATACTTATTTATAATGTCCATAACTAATAATACATATTCAAATCACAATAAGTTTTTTTTTCAACAAGTATGAAATAAACCCAACGATCATCAACCTTCAAAATATCAACTAAAATGTGACATATTGCAAGGAAAAACGTAAACACAAAACAAATGTTGATAATAAAAACAATAAGACACTACAAAAAATAAGCACTTTTAAAAACTTGGCAATTTTTTCACAAAGAAAGAAATTAAAACTACAATAGTAAAATAAACATACAAAATTATTTCAAAGTATTCAAATGAAAAACAAAATAAAATAGTGGTAGATGAAATCGGCCAATAACGAATGAATAAACAAACAAATATAAAGATATACTCAGATAGTTAAGACTTTGAAGCACTCTACTATAAGTATAGTGGAATTAGGTCAAGTTTATGGACCTTATGGTCGGAACTGGATTATTGTATATAATCTAAACTAAAATATGAATAAGAAACAGGTATGTTAAGGACTTTGCTAATAGTACAAACATTTTATTTAATATTTATTTATTGTAAAATAAATTTACAAGAAATACAGATTTTTAAAATTAAGACTGGCTACTAAGGCCTTAATTAATCAAGAAAAAAATAGAACAAACATTTTAAACAATTGAACAAAGTGAAAATATTTAGTTGACCTATAGACTAATAGACAACTTAAGATCATGTGGTGATACAAAGTCTATCGTTCTCCCTATAAAAGCCGTAGGGTATACAAATACAAAATATGATTAGACACACACCGACATACTTTTGCTATTATAAAAACAAATGCTACTACGTTCAAAAATTAGCAACAAGTTAACAGAAACATTTTTTGGTTTCTTTATAACACAATGATGTACGAATTGTTGGCATAAACACGTCAAAATATAATAATATCTAATGCAATCAAACCACATATATAAATTTTAAACTAGTACGTGGAGAGGAGCAATTTAGACACACGCAAATGCTCTTAGAGTGAATCGAAATAGACGCAGTCAGCAGTGTGGTGTGTTAAATGTATTTTTGGCTGAATGTTGATTCATTAAACTGTTTTTTTTTTATTATTATTTTTTTCTGTTCATAGTCATTGTTTAGTACAACATTTTTTTCTGGGTCTGTTGTACTGAGTTTCTTTTGGTTTTTAATGAAAAAGTTATCGTATGATTTTTTTCAACCAATCAGCGCTCGATGCCGTTTGCAAAAATGACGTAACGCCAACACGACGACGTACAATGTTTGTACGTCGACAACAAACAGAGTCAGTAAATGCTAGTAGTACGTTTGTTTTAACCAAATGTCAGTAGAAAGCCGAAATGGTAGAGAGAAATAAAACAAAACTCAAATAAAAATACTCATATGAATCGGCTGTTTTTATTTTTTTATATCTTTTTAGTTTAGTTTAGCGTGTTGTATTCAGAAAATATTGAAATAATAAAAAAAATGCGATAAAAAAAACCGACGTATGTATGTTTTAATTTTGTTGTTATTTCTCCATTCGAACATTCAATGAAAGCGAAGAAGTATTTAACAAAACACAAACAGTCAGAGTACGAGCACGAGTATCTAACGAACACTGCATACAACGTGTATGACATTGGGTGAAGGCTTGGCGTTATTCACAATATCATCATACACTTCCTTAGCCCCTCAACCAACTTGTCGCTGTATAATCATTATTTTTGTTTATTCTTTGGCAGAACAGCTAGATATTGCCAACGTTGCAAAATACATATAAATATTCTCAAAATAAACAAACTGAAAGTCTGAGAGTAAGAAATTATAATCTCATTTAGAGTTGAATTCACTGTTGCCAACTTTTTTCCCAAAAATATAGCTAAAGTCGACTGAAAAATAGCTAGAAAATAGCTAAATTCAAGAAATTTTGAAAAATTTAGCGATAAATCGTCAAAATAATATTTATTATATGATTCTGAAAAGAAATAGCTAAAAAAGCTAGCTAAATTTTCCAGATTTTTTATATTATTCTAAAAAGTCAGCGATTTATCGCTAAAATCTATATACATACGTAGGAATGGGATAGTGATACAAACACATCTTATAACAAACACATAAGAGAATCTTTTTTTATGTTAAATATTTTCACTTTGGGTTAGGAAAAATGTCAAGTTGAGGTTAATTTCGATATGCGACCCTATACAGATTGCTTTAGAAATGTTGTAAAGATAAATTGAATTTCGAAATGCTGGCCTTTATGGATCGATTCTTTATTTTCGGCATAAGAGTATTATTTATTTTTCCATTACAATACAATTATAAATTATATTCTAACCTAATTTACCGAGCAGGGTGACGATAACCATATGACCGTTGTAGTGTAGCAGACCAGGATCTCTGCTGGGAATCGAACCCACAACCCCCAGACTGACAGGCTAGCACACTACCAACTAGCCTACCGGGGCACCCAAGATTATTATTATACACTCCTTTTGTGGGAAGTTTATCTACAATATCGATATGCGGCCCTATACGCCTTAGAAATGTTGTAAATTTTTAGGACTTTACGGATCGATCCTTTCGTCACTTATTTCTAATGTTCACTTATTTTTAGAATTATGGTAAATTTTATTATCATATCACTCATTTACTAAAAGACTAGAATAATTAAATAATCGTTTTTTAATTGAGTACAACAAAATATACCCCTTTTAAAGTTTTTCGTATAACTTTACCTGTACGCACAAAAATTTGCTCCTAATTATGTTCTTCAGAACATTCAAAATAAGTATAATACACACAGCTAAAACTCAAATAATTTACATTGAATGCATATTTTTATATACATACATATATGTAAATATCGTCATTCGTAGCAACTTTTAAGCGATATTATCAAAATATAAATGAATAAAAAATGCCTTAAAATCTAAAGAAAAATCGCTAGATTTCCCGCTAATAGCTAAATCATATTTTTCCCCGCAAAATGGGATTAAAAATCGCTAGATTTGACGAGAAAATAGCTAAATTGGCAACAGTGGTTGAATTAGAGAGAACGATTCACTATCGCCTAGAAGTGCGGATATACATAATTAAAAATTCTTATAATTGAAACACTCTCACAGTATTGAAAAGAAGAAACTCGTTCCAATAAGAAACAATAAGAAAAAAACAGCGGAAATTTTTTGTTGTTGCCGGCATAAAAGCGAAAAAGAGAAGGTTTGCAAAATTATTACCAATATCAGACAATATGTATGTAATTAACATAATCAGTTGGTTGACTAGTCATCATCCCATCCCAGCCAGACAAGTTGATAGACAAAAGTCATAAAAATATAAAACGAAAGAAAAAAAAAAACAAAACCTGTTTACAAAAAGCCGGTTGAAATATTTAGCACAAAAAGGGAAAAGAAACAGAACAGCAAAACTAAAAAAAAATCCCCAATAAAAACAATTCTTATAGGTTCCAACAGTATTCTGTAGTCCCAACAAATATTCAACGAACGATCCATACATTTAAACATTAATAATAAGTTGGTTTAGGTTTACGCTTGTGTGAATCATACATTTTTTATTTTCTGTTCAAATAAGTTATAAGCTGTCGTGTGCACCCTGTAGGTAAATGTGTGAATGGTTGTAGAAATAAGAAGAAGGGAAAAATAAAGTTGGCAACGCGTCGTTTGACATTTTTGAGAAAAAAAAATGAAAGTAAACAAAAACAAACACTAGGAAAATTATTTGAAACAGTAGATTGAATAGCTGAAAGGAATTGAAACAGTAGGAAACCATTATGGGATCCGAGGTTTCTCGGACCCTAATGTGCAAAATGTCGGCTTTTTTCTTTGAGATTCAACGAAGCAGCAAGTGGCAAGTGCGCACAATAAAAGTCGTCTAAGCATTTTTAAAGTCTTTATTTAAATCAAACAATATAATATAATATAAATTATATAAATTGAACACCAAAAAAAAAAAAAAAAAGGTTATACAAATATTTCAACGCCACCTCTGCCGACTTCCAACGTGGGATCTTTCATTTGGGAACATCGGCTCCGCACTGCCAATCCTGGGGTGCGCAGGTATACCAAAGGTTTCGACCATAAAGATTTTTGACCCTGAACGACAAGACGGACTGACAGTACCTTTTAAATAATTAATAAAAAAAAAGGGAAAATAGTAAATAAAAAAATTTATATATATATAAAATAACAAGCTTACCATTGGTTAGAATCGGACCAGACCGCTGGCCAAAAATTACCGCCAAGCGTGCGCGACGTTAGGGTTGAGCTCAGGCCTAGTTTTTTAGAAGAATTTGCGGCAGATTTGCACCCAGTAGCTCAGTATTTTTATACGTATATATATGTAAAAAAAAAAAAATAAATATATATAAATAATTATTTAAAAGATATTTAAAATTTTTGCAAACTGACCTGAATTACCCGGACCTGGACAGAATACGGACGACGGAAACCCCACTGCAACACCTGCCAACTCCATAGCCGTAGGACCTGTAGAAGAAAGAGGAGAAAATAAAGATAAAATACTTAAAAGCTAAAATATAAAGATACTTAAAAGCTAAAATCTAAAGATACTTAAAATCTAAAAATACTTAAAAGCTAAAATCTAAAGATACTTAAAATCTAAAAAAAAAAATATACTTTAAAGCTAAAATCTAAAAATACTTAAAAGCTAAAATCTAAAGATACTTAAAATCTAAAAAAAAAAATATACTTTAAAGCTAAAATCTAAAAATACTTAAAAGCTAAAAGATAAAAATACTTAAAAGCTGAAATCTAAAAATACTTAAAATTTAAAAATTTGATAAAACTAAAAGCTGAAAACAATTTGTCAAAAGCTAAATTCTTAAATCTATTTAAAACTTAAAACCTAAAATTTAAAACATACTGCTTTAAAACTAAGAGATTATATTGTGAAATCATACTACTAAAGCCTAAATCTACTTAAATCTAAAGCTTAGAATCTACAAAAACTTAAAATTGGAAAACTAAAGAAAATTTGTTAATCTAAAAGCTAAATGTGTTAAACCAATAATTTGTATATAAAAATTTTTTTGTAATAATAAATATCTCCCTTAAACTCATTTTTTTGGATATTGTCCATTAAAAATTTTTGTAAAATTTAAATTTTGCCGTAAGCTAAGAAAAATTCTAATAATTAATAAAAAAAATTATGTTTATAACGTTTTAAAGAAATTTTGAAAAGTTGTGTCATTAATATGATTTGGTAATTTGTTTGAAAAGCGGCGGTAAGTAGGGGAAGTGAATGTTCGCAGGGAAGATTTGGGGGACGTCAAGGAAGAGGACGTCATGGTGAGGTTGAATCCTCTAGTGGGAGGACAATAATGTGTATAGGTATGACCGCAGGGAGATGCAGGACTACTTTTGGCCCCTTTTTCAAATAATACCCCAAATGCTGGTATGAATTTTTGTGTTAGTGTGTGTTTATGGTCCAGATTGCCGGCAAGAACCACCCCATCCGGCGAGCTTTAGCCGCGCAATACGCGGGCATACCAGCGCCGCTAGCAATCTGGCCATTCTGTCCCTTTCTGTTTATTTTGTTTTCTGTTTGTCTTATTTTAAACAAACAGCTGACCACCACACCACTACATAAATGGCGCCCAACGTGGGGCCCGAAAGTAGGTCCGTAGACCAAGTAGTTTGACGTATTCTCTTAAGTCCGAGTAGGCCGGTTAGGTTTAAAGTCAAGAGTCCCTAACTGTAGCTACTTAGATGAATAAGATAATATTTGGAAATTTTTAATAACACTTTTTTATTTCAATAGCTACGAATCCTAAATTGCGCATGTTCTTATTGGTCACGCAGATGTAAGTCCCGGTCTCTAGGACAAAAGAGTCCTGATCGCGTTGCGACATCTTGTGTGGGCAATAAGGGCATGCAAAATTCTGGATTCCGTAGTTGCCATCTTTTCCTAACAGCTTGAGGCTTAGAGATAACAGGCACAGCTTAATCTCTAAATGCTCAAGTTGGAAGGAAAAGATGGCGACCATATCCACACTTAAATTAACAATAGCATACAACTAACTATACCTAAATTAAGAATACTTACGTTCTTAAGTCGCAGCCGGTCTAGGGAGGTAGTCCTTAGAAGTCTGGTACATTTAACCTTTTTAAGCTGCACCTTAGTAGACAGGACTGTGAAGAGCCAGTTAGCAGTTTCACCCATCTTTTTAATTTTCGTTTAGTATTCTGCATCTCCTGAAACCATAAATAAGAAAAAGAATTAGGTCATATCTATACACATAGCAGCAATGTAAATTGTGAAATAAAATCTACCTGCAAACTTTTACTTTCCCGAAAATGCCGCCCGCATTTAAGCTTTTTGAGTTTTATCAAAATTTTTTTTTTTTTTGCCTTTGATAGGAAGAAATCTTAGGTGTGAACATATATTTTTTTTTTTTCCAATTTACGCTGCTAAGATTCTGGAATACGAATTACTTTTACATATTTATATATATAACTTGAAATATAATATATATATACAATACCTTTTTTTTTATTTTTGATATTGAAGTGAAGATTTATATTAATTTTTATTTTTTAAATGGTTTTAACCCGTCGCGCGAGTCGTCTACAGCATCAAAATAACGCCATGGCGACAAGCAGTACCAACGTAACTTGTCATACCGATACTCCTACCACCTCATCTGTCGTGACTTTTACGAATCCCACCACAACCACAATCACAACAACAGCCAGTACAGCAGATCCGATTTTCAGCACTCAAGCATCTCATGATCTTTCGATCAGCTCCGAAGGCGCTAACCAGACGGTAGTGTCTCCAACATTCTTAAGCGAGACAGCACAAAATATAAGGAGAGAAGTTCGAGAGAGCATGGCAGGCCAAGGTGCCGAAAGTCCAATACAGGTCAGCGATATTCACAACATTGTAAGTGCCTCAGTGGGATTACATCAAATCCAATTTATGAAAGAGGTCGACAACAAGATCCAGAAAGCATTGGACGACATGAAGCAGCTTATATTGTCGCTGCCGATGACTAATCCGGCTCCAATGCAAACAATGTTGTCACCTTCAAACCATGTGGTACCGCCAACTCAACCACCGAGAACCTCTTTAGAGGCACAACCATCATTCTTTGGTCATCCAGCAACGCCAGGTTACCAGCAACCACCACCATTAATTCCGGCTCCAAATTATGTGCCCGTCGGTCCAGCAGCTCCTAGAGTAACAGAAGCTAGTATTCAACAACTGCCAGTACAAACACAATATCAGCCTCCGGTACAAACACCAAATCAGCAGCCACCAGTACAAACCCAATATCAGCAACAGCAGTCAGTTCTGCAGCAGAATAACCCGTTGCCGTATTCTCAGCCGGCAGCGCAGCGGTATGTTCAGCCGCCGATTTTGCAACAACCAAACCCTTTGCCTAACTCGCAACCAGCTTTCAACAGATACAGCCAGCAGCAGTTATGGCCACAACCAGCACCAGACCCACAAGCTAACTATCAGCAATATAGCGCTTCCCAGCCTGGGTATCCACAGGATACTTGGTCTGGGCCAGCCGCTCAACAACAATCGCTAAATTATAACTTGGCAATTTCGAGGCCAAGACACCCAGAGCCATTGGATAAGTTTAAATTAGCCAAATGGGGTGTTAAATTTGATGGCACTAGTAAAACCATGAATGTGCAAGAATTCATCTTTAGAGTTGGAGCGTTGAGGAGGGATTACGGATGCTCTGATGATGAAATCCTGAGGAGTTTCCATCTTCTTCTAGACGGCCCCGCTCTAGACTGGTACTGGGACTACAGGAAAATAGTGCATATTAACACCTGGGAGGAGTTGGAGAAAGCCCTCTTAGCACAATACAGACGCTTTGAGCAAGAACACGAGGTGCAAATGAAAATTCTCAATCGCCGACAGTTGCCGCAAGAAAGTTTTGATGATTACTACAATGCCGTTATTAAACTCCGAAACCAGCAACAGCACCCATATGCGGAGGAGCAGCTGGTAGAAATCATGCGGGGTAATCTGAAACCATCTTTGGCACAGATGATGTTTTCGATTCGTTTGAAAACCCTGTCAGAATTCTGTCGCGAGGTGAGGCGAGCGGAAAACTTGATTGCTAATCAGAGGCAGCTGTATCAACGTGCAAATGTCACGCATCGCGTGCATGAATTATGTGGTGAGGATGAGGAGCAGTCATTGATCGATTTGGAGGTAGATGGTATTCGGTCGACAAGTCAGTACGTTTGTTGGAACTGTAAAGTCGTTGGCCACGGTTTCGTCGACTGTCCACAGCCCATAACTCGGATGTTTTGTTTCCGGTGTGGGAAGGATAATGTAGTGGCCCCAAAATGTCCCAAATGTCAGGGAAACAGATCCCGGAACCCGTCTCGAACTGGGGAGGCGAGGTCGACCGAGGTGTAGGCCCAGTAGAGAGTAGGGAACAACAACATCAGCAGCTACAAATAACAATTTTAAAGAATCTGAATAGGTCGGAGTTTGAGTTAAAACCTGAGCCTCGGCTCCGAGAACTCAAACCCCTACATATTCGGATTCAACAATACAACGAAGCAAAAAATAGAATTTTCGGTAGAGTGTCGAACAAAATTAGAAAA